CTCACACTGCACCCGGAGCTGGCGCAGGAACTGCCGGAACCTGCTGGGGAGGAGCTCTCCCAGGAGGGCGCCCAAGAAGTCGGGGCCCTCCCGGGCCGAATCCCGCCGGGGGTCCCCGCGCAGTTCAGGCCTGCGGCGCTGAGGCGCGGGGTCCTGGGGCGCGTGGGCTACTAGCAGGGGCGGTAGCAGCGGCGACTTGACCCCCTGCGGGTTCTGCGCCGCTCGCTGGGTCACGGTGCGCAGGGCGGGCAAGTGGGGCTGGGGGCTCCTGCAGCTCCCCACGAGCTCGGGGTGTGACCACTCGCTTCTGGAGTCTGGCCACCACCCGGCGGCGCCAACCGACGTCCGAGAGCACCCCGAACACTTGGCGCCGGGGGCCGCCCGGAGCTCGGGCTGAGTCAGCCTGGGAAGCAGCAGGACTCTCCTGCGGCGATCGCCGTCGCCGGGAAACCCCTGGGGCGCCACCTGCTGGGCCCCGGGCTTGGGGTGACGCCGGGGCATGTCTGGCCCAGCGCTCAGCTCAGGGCACCCTCAGCCCTAGCGGGCTCAGGGCGCCTGGTGAAGGGGAGAGCCGGGCACAGGCCCGCGCCAGGCCATAGTACCCCGAGGGCGGGTGTTTGGGGGTGACACCGCCGGCTGGCCAGCGTGAGCGGCTTCAGACTGGAGCTCCCGGGCCTCTGTTTCCTCACCTGAATGGCGGTGACGGTGAAAGTACCCACCTTTTTGAGTTGTGACGCTTAAATGAGCAAGGGGTTGTTGGTCACCGAGAACAGTGCCGCTGGCGCCGCGCGCGAGCGTTTTTAAAAGGCGTTTTTAAACGGATGCAGTCTCGGCTCCACCATTAGCTTCATAGCCTTGGGCAGGCCAACTGATTAACTTCTCCCAGCCCGGGGCTGCCCTCACAGGTAGAACTGGGATAAAGTGACCCCCAGCAGCCTCTGATGCAGGGAGTGCTTCACCATGTGGGGCGTGGGGTCCCAGGGTCTGTTACCCTTGTCTGCATGAGGCTGACACTCCAGCAAGCTTGAAACAGACCTCACCCAGCCCCCGTCCAGACCGTTGGCGCCTCAGTCCCTATGATGGGGAGCTTGTGGAAAACGCAGATGCCTTGGTTCTGATTCAGTAGATCTTGTGGGACCCAGAGGACACCTTGTTTTGCTTTTGATTTCTTTCACCAATGCCTCCTTTGGGACACAGAGCCTCAGATCTATCTCCAGAACCTTGTGACTCTGGGGCCTCCATGTAGACTGTCTGGTGAGGCTTCTGAATGGGGTCAGAGAAGGTCCCAAGAGTTTAGAGCCCCTAACAGGTGGACTGGAGCCTGGGGCAGCCATCTTTCCTGCCTCATCACACTGCTGCCCTTCCCCCACCTCCTCTAACCTCCTTCCTTCTGGGCCTCTGAAGGTCATTGTGATCCCCCTCACTGAAGGCCAAGTGGTCACCAAGGGCAGGGGGTTCAGGGGCAGCCCCCAGGGCTGCAGTCACAGGCAGGCAGCCAGCTGCCCCTTCCCCATGGAAGGGTGGAGCCCCAAGGGGCCAGCTACCCCTACATCTCCAGGAGGCCCAGGTGGGTCACATTTGACCTGGGTGGCTTTGGATGAGAGCTTCCAGAAGGCTGGGCAGTGAGGGTGCAGTGGGCCTGGAAACCAAGAGCTAACTGCAAGGCTGTGCTCTGCCTCTGAGGGCTGGGTCATGTGGCCAGCCTCTGCGTTCTCAGAGGTAAAATGGACTCTGCTGGGGTGCAGGGAAGAAGCTGACACTGGAGTGCAACAGGGTAGTTTGGACTGCCATGTCTCTGGCGTGGTATACTTTCACATCCCAACCAGGGAGGGAAGGACACACCTCCCTGGGAAGTCAGAAGATCGGGTAGGAGAGAGTGAGTTTTTTAAAACTGGATGGGAACAGCATGTGGGCTCGATTTCCAAGAGGCCCTCCAGCCCGGCAGTGTACACACATTACTAGGATTCAGAGAGGCAAGGAGATTCAAGATACGGAGCAGGACAGGCCTGGAAAGGCCCTGGAGCTGGGGTGTGAGGAAGGGCTTTCTCTTCTGTTGACAGAAAAGGTAGGGGTGGATTTTAAGCAGCCCTGAAAGAGCTGGAGCCAGAGCCACCCCCGAAGGGGGTCACAGACATCCCCAGCCATTGAGCTTGCCGAGGTTCTAGCCCCTTCTCTTAGACACATGCAGCTGAGGGGCCTGGGCGTGGGGGAGTGCCTAACCTGGAGTACTCTGGGAGGGGAAATAATAGGTAGCAAAAAAGATTAGGGGTTTTCAGTACCCTCCCCCTCTGCAGTTTTCTCTTTGAAACTCCATGTAAGCACCTTCTGTGGGTAACTCCCAGTGGAAAACCGCAGACCACGACATTCGTGGAGGAAGGATGAACTTAGAGAGGAATATTGTCAACACGGGGCCTCCTCGGTGTGGGAGCCCACGCCTGTGCAAACACCCCGCGAAAGGCGTGACTTGCGACAGCCACTTGTCAGCCCTCAGAGCGCGGGGAGGTGGGTGGCTGGTCCTTCTGTCTGGCACAAGAGTTGAGGCTCGGAAGGGCTCCCGAGTTCTGCCTGCCTGCTCAGCCAGCTCCCGAATTTCATCATAGGGGAGGGGCGTAGGAGAGGACCACCTTTTGGAGTGGAAACTTATTGGGCTTGTCTTGCTTGGGGTGGCAATCTCTCGGCACTGCCAAGCGTATGATTTTTATCATTTGTTCACAGGTGCGTTATTTCAAGATGCTAATTGTTATGGATTCGAGGAATAAGGCTACACACACACACACACACAGAGTGGAAAACCCACAGAACATTAATTTTTAAGAGTCCAGCCCAGCGGCCACTAAAGAACAGGTGCACGTCCGGCGCTGCTGTCCCTTTCAATCCCGGCGGTCCCTAAGGTCCAGTTGAGGCGGGGCCCAGGGGGCGGGGCAAGTCGGTCCGGGGTGGGGCTACGCGTGGCCCCGCCCCGGCGCCCGGAAGTGACGCGGCCGGACAAAGGCAGCGCGCGCCGCCAGGTGTCGCGCCTGGGGCTGCTCGGGAGGACCGGCTGTGGGCTGGCGGGCTCCTCGCCGCCGCCGCGCTCCCTGGCTCTTCCCGGTCCTCATTCTCCCGGTCCCGGGAGCGCCCGCCGGGGTGAGTAGCGCGAGGCGGAGCGGGGGCGGCGGCCGCCGG